GGGGGGGGGCTTCAGCAAATTTGAGGAAAAAACGCTTAGAAATCTATATAAATATTACAAAGTATAATTTATAACAATAAATAACTAGTGAGTAGTTAAGGCCACCTTTGTCGAGCCCAAAACCAGGACTAGTGTGTGACATTGGCTGCTGTGGTAACCGTGGTTACCAGGCGGCCAATGTTGATGCTCGTTGTAGACATGTGGTGAATTAAACAAATATCCGTTTCCTGACCAAGCTTCATCAATAGTTGTGTGGTTGTTGTGAAGGAGAAAGTGTTAACTAATCGATTAGTTCTATCAGACTTGATCAATATAACTGGGTATCATCTGCATAACAGTGGAGCTCCTCATAAGGAAGCATGTATACAGGGAATATATTAGGTCCAAACACAGAACCTTGTGGAACTCCAAGACTAACTTTAGTGTGAATGGATGATTCATCGTTAACAACAAACTGAAATCGATCTGATAAACTTAAACCAGCTTAATATGGTTCCTTTAATCTTTAATTGGATGTTTTAGTCTCTGTAATAAGATAAGATGATCACTAACACCTTTTGTTAGATCTTAGAGCAGAACTATTGAATCTAATGGAGAGATTAAAGATATGTAATTATCACTGTATTAATAAAAGTAAGGAAATATATCCAGAAGTTGTCCTGTTGATGTGTTTTAAAGACTTTTAGGAGGCCTTGTCATGGAAACGTTTGGGACAATCTGCTCTAAGGAACCGACGACTACACAAACGTGTCATTTTAGACTTTTCTAATAATAATACACGACTGGTGCTACAGCGCTGTCTGTGCGTGTCGTGAGCAGCCATACTCACTATGGTCTGTCGTGGGTGGACGGAGGGAGGAGGGATTCAGAGCGGAGGAGAGAAAACAGGGAGGTTAGTCGGACAAACAGGAGGGGAAGACACATGGTGACCAGCAGCTCCCGGAGGCGTCACGAGTACATCGACGAGAGAAAACATGTTCACACGTTTCAGCTGTAAACCGTCTGTTGACTGAGCTCCCGACGTGTAGAAACTCGCCGTTATAAATCCTCATTAAACAGAAAGCTTCTGTTAACTTACCGTGTACGTGGACTTCTGCCTCTGGTTGCATGAAGCTGCACCATAAACCTGCAAGAAACAGGACGTTATCTGCAGAGGAGATATCAATTAAAACCAGCAAAGGATGAATAATGAGCCAGAATATTAAATCTACACGATGTAGAATGTATATTATAGCTACAGTCAGGTTATTACATATGTTTTGGCTGTGAAAGGCACTTTTTTTGAACATTTTTGAATCCTTGAACGATGAGATGAATCGTGACCATAAAACATTTGATTGAAAGAAAGGACTTCTACGTTATTATTATTAATATTATCATTAATTTACCATCATTTCACTATCTTACAGCTCGTGGTGGCTTGGACGGTTACAACATTACAGCCTATAAATGGCATTTTTACCTCCAGAACCTCACTGTTTTTAGTTTTTTTGAGATTATTTTTTGGTCTTTCGTTGAGTTTATTTGATAGTAGCAGCTGCAGAGAGACAGGAAAGAGGAGACAGAGTCAAACCGCCGCTGAGGACACCAGGTGAGTTCAACTTCACTTTGTCAGTTAAATGCTGCATTAAACTCATTAGCAGTGGTGCGATGCAGAATACACACATA